GGGCGTAGATGGTAAGCATGGCGTGAGCGATATGGCCAGACGGTAGCCAAATATCTGGTCAGCGCTGGCGGCGGGCAGCACTGCACGGCAGGGCAGGCGGGTCCTGGTCGATACCAGGACGAACCCAACTCGCACCTCCGGCGGGGCTTTTGGGGCTGGGCGGACGAGCTTCAACGTCAGCGGGGCGAGCCCCACGCACACGCCGGCCTGCGGAGCCCGGCTGCGGCGGGGCGCGGCGCAGAGTAGGCCACCGGCTCCGGAGGGCTGTCGCGCGGGTCTGCCTACCCCCGGGACCGCAGGCGCACAGCCAGGGCCCTGGCGGGCTGCACTCACCTCTGCCGCTGCGCCCGACGAATCTCAGGTCGTTGAACTTGGCCACCTGGTTCTTCATGGGCGCGCAGTTGTTCCTCAGCTCGGCGCAGAAGTTCTCGTCGTTGCCGGCGCGCACGGTGACGGGCGTGCCGTCGACCACGTCGCCGAGCGCCACGACCTTGAAGGCGCTGGGCAGCGTCTTGTTGGAGCGCCAGTGCGTGGGCAGCACGGTGCAGACGACGTGCGGCGAGCCCGTGCGCACCAGCTCGCCGGGGTGCTCGGCCAGCAGCCCGTCCAGGGTGCGCTCGGCCAGCATGTCGGCCGTGATGGGCGCGTACGGCGCCGGCGCGGGCGGGGCGGCCGGCTCGCGCGAGGCCGGGGCCGCGGCGGCCGTGCCCTGCCCGTCCGAGAGGTGCATCCCGCGGCGCGTCATGCGCGCGGCGGGCCGGGCCCGGGGGCGGACCTGCGGACCCTGCTCCGGGAGCGTGCTCCGGGGGCTCGAGGACGGCGACGGCGCGCTAGTCCGCGCGGCCGGGCCGGGGGCCGGGCAGCGGCCGCGTCATGTCCCGGTCAGGACCGGGGGCCGGCGGTGCTCCCGGAGGCGAGGCATGTCCGTCCCAACCTGCAACACACCAACGAAACTTGGGAGTCATCATTCGTATCGCGTGGTATGATATCAAAAGGCGCGATGAATCATTTTCGCCGTGGCAGCATAAGAAAGGTGCAGTTAGTACAACCTGACGAAGTCCGAGGTTACAAATGTAAACCAACTCTCCTCAAATTCTAAACACTAAACACAAAATGACCGTATAACACAAAATCGGAGCGTAATTGTTTGGGTTTACTGACAACTATTCGCTTGCCCTTACTGAAAAGCACGCAAGGCGTTCCGGTGCTGACGAAACCACGCACAGTTCTTAGGCGCTAGCAAAACCACGTATCGATGGTTAAAAAAAAATGAGATAACTTTACACTCTGGAAGAGGGAATCGTCCTCATTCCAACGATATTGGTCTTAAAAAGGGTACAAAAAAGGAGATGCGTGGTTTTGCTAGCGTTGGGGCGCTGTGCGTGCTTTGCAATAGACACAAGCGGATTGTGAAACACGAAAAAACAAATTGATATCCCGATGATGCCAATAAAGTTACAGAAGTCCGAGACAAAAAAAAACACGGTTTTTCCCGTGAAAACCCCAACAGCTAACAACATTTCGTACAACATTTCTAAGTTCGTTGGTGGTCTGGGTGTGCAAATTACAGTCCAATACAGTCAGTTTCGAGGCTGCGCTTTTGGAGATTTCAATGCTCGCACGTTTCAAAACCCTTTCGATTTGCGCCACAAGATTTTTTTCAAATCCAAGACGGCAATCATTATTTGGCGTGGCGCGGCGCGCGGATTGCTGCACCCGTTACAGTTTAATGAGAAATGCCTGACGCGGCAATACGCCCGCCCGGGGCCCGGGGGCCCGGCGGGCAGCCCGGAAGGACAAAAGGGAAGACGGGAATGCGCAACGCAATAACTCAGGCCAGTTGATGAGGTGCGCGGCTGCGCGGGCCTCAGGAGACTTCGCTAACCGTTTTGCGAGAATTGCAAGTATCGTCGCGAGCAAGGCGATGACGGAGGGGCGCCGAGGGAACAACGCATCACGCGCGGACACCGGAAGAAGGAAGGGAACCAAAGGGAACCAGAGGGAACCAGAGGGAGCCCCGGAGCGGAGCGGGAGAGCGCGGCGCGGCGGTCAGCCCCGCTGCGCAGATTAATTTATTGAACATGATGAGGTAACTCCCCCGGGGAGAGAAAGCAAAGCGATCGCGCGTTTCCTTCCCCTCGCCGCCGAACAGGCCAGAGGACCCGGTCCCGCGGAACTTGCGACCTCAGATTTGAAGTGCGCGCGGCCGCCAAAGTTTTCTGAGCTGGTTCACCGCCAGCTCGGTCGGGGCTGCTCGTCCCGCGGCGGCCCGCACCGCGGTTGCTGCGGTGACCAAGACTCGGAGGGCGAGCTCTGCTAGGAGCAGCGCGGCGGAGGCGCTTCGGACCAAGGCCCCTTCAACATGGCGAATTTAAACAACAACCCCGCAGCGACTTTTCGTGAGCCGTCGCCGTGCAGACAGACCGACAGGCGGCTCGGCTTGGGAACGAGCTCAGAGGTGAGGTGGGCGGGCAGATAACTGGCCGTGGATTACGGGGACCGAATGTCGCAGGCGGCGGGGGAAAAATTGCGGAACGGGAAAAAAATACAATAGACGTCACGGCCGAGGGCTTCTTACAGCGTCGCGTACACTCTCTTGGAGGGCTGAGGCACTGATCAGATCAAGCAATGAGAGGAGATCAAGGGAGAAGAGAAGATGGAGTAGGTCGGGCGCGCGGGTGGCGTCCGGGTCCCGGGTAGACTCACTTCGTGGCGGCGGAGGATGCCGCCGAGCGATGCGGTCACTTACTTGCCGTTAAAGTCGGTTAAAGTCGATCTGGACGGAAGCGCTTCGGACGGGAAAACGCCGCGCGGGAGACGCCGACCGCCGGGAGCGGCCCGGGTCAGCGCAGGAGGACCGCAAGAGCCCGGAGGGTGGGCGTCCAGGGCCTCGGCCAGGGCGGTCAGGGCGACCGGGAGGAGCAGGGGCGCGGCGACCAGCGGCCCGGAGCGACGGGGCGGGGCGGTCGGCGAGACGCTGGCGTTTTGCGGGTTGCCGAAGCACTGGGGTGGCGAGCCTCAACGGTTGCCCGCAGTAGCCCCAAACGAGTGGGGGCCCGGGCCGCGCGGGCCGGTAGGGCTGCGGGGGGCCGCGGGGACCCGCGCGGGGCCGCGGGGGCCCAGCCCAGGGCGTGGCAGGGCGTGGCGACGCACGGCCCCACAGGGCGGCCCCACAGGGCGGCCGCGAGCCGGGGCATTGTTTTCTTCATCTTGGTGGGAGATGCACTTGTAGGTTTTCTCGGTGGCGCCGGGTGGCGGGTGGCGCGGGGCGCCCCGGCCGGTGCGGGGGCCGGTGCGGGGGGCATGGGGGCACTGCCGAGGACTCGGCGCGACCCGGGCTGCCATTGGTCGGCGCCCCGCGACGACGGCGACCAATCCTGGCCCTGCCCGGGGATAAAAGAAGCGGCAGTGGAGGGGGAGGGGCCCGGAGGGGCCCCGGCCAGGCCGCGCAGGGCCCGCGGGGCGGCGGGGGCCCCACTGCCTTCTCCTTTTCTTGAGACGTTTTCCCTCTTCTTCGCGCGGCGCGGCCTGAGCACCCCTTCACCTTCTCTCCAGAGGCTGCCCCATCCCCTGCCGCACGGCCCCCGCCGCC